GAAGAAACAAATTTACCTAAGAAATTCCCAGGGTTGATGAGGAAGAGAAAACATGGCTTTCAGGAAGTCTCAATCTAATAAGGAAGATGAAGTCCTAATGTGTTGTTCAGCTCTTGGGCCCCCACTGCACTGGCAGGTTAGGACCTCATGGAGTGGATGGAGACTGTTCCCATCAGGGTTGGGGGGTAACTCTGATGAGTTGGTGGGTGCAGTTCTCAAATACCATTATGAACAAGCTCCCATCCATTTTGTTCCACATCTAACTGCTCATAGCAGTTCTTACCTCACTCATCAGCAGGAAAGTAGAGTTCATCTAGTCTATCCTCTTATAATCTATTCTAACCAGTTCAGAAGCCACTTTAAAAACTTCATCCCCATACAGTAAGCCTACAGGAAAGTCATAAAATGTATAGGCCAGCTCTGAATCCAGGAAAGATTCCCTCCACTATACATGTCATAAAAGCATAAAGGCAGCTCACCAATCCTCACCAATCCTCCAGGCAGAGCACAGTGTGCTTCCTCTAAAGACTGGACCCTTATTGGCCAGTCCCCTTCCCCCTAAACTTAGAAAACCCTTGGTCTGATGGGGGAGATGCAGTGCTCACCCTCCAGGAGCACTTGATTTAAAATTGTGGTTGTTTCTAGACATCTCTCCAGGGTAAAAACTTGTCCACCAATAAGGCTCACCTTTAGTAGTGATCTAAATAACTTATTTCTTGAGGGCATAGACTTTCTTCATTTTTTATTGGTATCCCCAGTACTTGGTATTCCTGGCACACACTCTAGTAAGTGCTTAACAAATGCCTATTGATTGATAGATTGATTTTTGCCTCTTTAATATAACTTGCATGGAAAAGCTTCTGGTAGTTTAAGAAATACTTGAAGTGTTTGAAGGTGAAATGGCAGAATTATTTATCCTCTTATGAAGAAGAGGTAGCAGCCCACCTGAGGCCTCCAACTAAAGCCAGAAGCTGGAGGCAGAGAGGGAAATCACCATCTGATGTCTGGTAGAGCTTCAGGGGGCAGCAACTGGCAATGACCAAGAGACCAATGGGGAAGGAACAGCAGTCACACAAGACTAGCAAGGGGGCAGCGAGGTGGCGCAGTGGATAGAGCACCAGCCTTGAAGTCAGGAGGACCTGAGTTCAAATCCAGCCTCAGACCAAACACTTGACACTTACTAGCTGTGTGACCCTGGGCAAGTCACTTAACCCCAATTGCCTAAAAAATAAAATAAAAAATAAAAATAGAGACTAGCAAGAACTAGTACTTATCAGAGATTATTCATTGGCAGGGGTGACAACAACTATAGACAGAGCGTGCCACTCTGGAATTTAAGAGTCTAGGCCTAGGGGAAGCCACATAATGATATCACTAGGAGATATGAATGATTTTGTAGCCTTGGAGGCATGAATCATTTCTTCATGAACATCCTTGACCACCAATGATCCTTCTGTCTGTGCTCTTAAATACATATTCTCTTTGTGGGTCCCTATACATGCTCTCTATGTGTATTCTCTCCATTGTTGATTGTTTTTATATATGATTGTTTTATGTATATGTGTCAAAATGTGCCCCAACTTTATGGGGAATACATTTTCTCACTTCTTACTATGTACTTCCCTTAAATGCCTTTTCTTTGAATTGCATGTGTCCTCTGGCTGATTAGGAAATGTAAACACATTGGTGGGGCTTCACAAACTATGACTTTGAATAGAAATGGATCCACAGAATGCCTTCAACTTTAGGTAGCTTTGCTGAGGGAGCCACCATGTGAGGTGGACGTGCTTCCACATGTTCTGCTTTAATAATACAAGGTGTCATAAAAGTTTTGATGCGATTTTAATCCTTAGTAGAACTAAGACTTTTGAGAATCTTGTACTTTGTGAATTTTGCTAAGAATTGAAGTTATCATTTGTGTATGGTTTGAAGAACTCATCTTTTCCTCCTTTGAAAATCAGCCTATTTGTTCTTCTCAAGTCTGATAGACCTATATGAACTGATGTCAAATGAGTTATACAAATCCAGGAAGACAGTATTGTCTAGATTTAAAAAAAAGTAACAACAGTAAATGTGAGGGTTTTCCACTTTAAGGTTGTCACATTTCTATTTTGCTGGCAAGTAGGTGGGACAGTGGATATGGAAGACCTGAGTTAATATCCTACCTCAGCAGCTTTGTGACCTTGGCCAAGTCACTTACCCTTTTAATCTCAGTTTCCTCATTTGCAAAATGAGGATAATAATAGTACTTACATCACAGGTTTATTGTAAAGATCAAATGAAATATTTGTGATGAACTTTGTAAATCATAAAGCTCCACATAAATGCTAGTTATTATTTTTCATATACCTATGCATGTAGCTTCCCTCATTACAATGAAGGCTCTTTGAGAGCATGGACTATTTTTTTCCTTTTTTTTTGTACCTTCAGCATTCACAAAGTACCTGACACATAGTAAGCATTTAATAAATGCTTGTTGACTTATTAAGAATGCATTCAAAAGGGCAGCTAGGTGGCACAGTGGATAGAATACTGGCCCTGAAGTCAGGAGTACCTGAGATCAAGTCTCAGTCACCTGACACTAGCTGTGTGACCTGGGCAAGTCACTTAATCCCAATTCCCTGCCCCCCCCCAAAAAAGAATACATTCAAAGGCAAAAACTGGCAAATTATGCTTTTTTTTTTTTGGCTAGGCAATGGGATTAAGTGACTTGCCCAAGGTCACACAGCTAGTAAGTGTTATGTGTCTGAGACTGGATTTGAACTCAGGTCCTCTGAATCCAGGGCTGGTGCTCTATCCACTGCGCCACCTAGCTGCCCCCAAATTATGCTTTTTTCTCATATCCCCAAAAGCCATTAGTGCAGATCTAGCAACACAGTATGTGTTCAGGAAATAATTGATTAACCACATGGTCATAGGCTTCAGGAATGATTGTTCACATACTGGGGGTGGAGGATTAGAAACCTTGTGTAAGCAGAGCTAAATGTGCCCAGATTTCTCCAGAAAGAAATTCCATTACATTGAATCACAAACCTATGATGATGTTGTGGAGGGTGATGTGTTCATGCATGATGAGTCCTGGAGGAGTGGGAGAGAAGGTGGTTGAGAGAGAGAGAGTTCACAGGAAAAGCTTTCATACCCCTGGTCATCCCTTGATCCATGAAGGAATGATTTCATTCCTTAATGCTATCCCTGCCATTCTTTACCTCATAATCTACTATTTATGCGTGCAGCCTTCCCTTCCAGTCCTAACCTCTTGGTTTCTATGGTGTCTGGAGCTCTGTCCCACCTCTCACACTATAAAGGCAGCCCAGGAATTGGGAATTCTATCACAGAGAAGACTTTTGGTGGGGAACCAATTGTTGGCCGCTATTGGACAAGTGAAAAGAACATATGTCAAGTAGGTGGCTGTGGGAGGAGAACTAGACCTCAGGCTGTGAGTAGGGGATACAAAGAGGAACTCCAAGGAGGAAGAGGAATTGATTAAGGGAATTTATAGAACATCCTAAGGTTGTCTCAAAATCACTTGATTCCTCCTGGTGGGAGGGGGAAGGAGTGCATAAAAATAACTATGCAATGAAGGAAAGTGAGAAAAGCCTAAAGGTCTAGGGAAAGTGCTGTGAGAAATTTGATGGGAGAGAGATCACATATACTTAAGGTGATCACTGACATGGAATTAGCAGCCAAATCTCATGGGCAAATATGGGATGAGCCTCTCTAGGACCAGCAATCTAAGGCCCAAGGATTTGCATAGATTCACACAACATAATATAGCTCTAACAGAAAGCCTGGTCCATTCTTGCCTAGTTAGACATCAGCATACAAATATTACCCTTGAGATTCAGGGCCAAGCTGTGGAAAATAACCTAATTAATAAAGGGACTGATATTGTAGAGACAATGACCACTGACAAGAAAGCTCCTTTCAGTTATTATTGTTCCTACATCTATGTGCCTACTGTTCCCTATATATAGGAATGCTTGAAGGTCATTAAATTGGACTGAATTGAATTGTATGTAGCCAGAGGACCTCTGGCTTCCTAAACAAAACTAATTTGCCACCTTCTTCCCTGATGACCCAGCTTCTATTGCATCAGTGTTTGGAAGGCTGGCATCAATGAGCCACAGTCCCTTGTTGGCATAAGTGGTTGGACGTGGGTATACATCTAAAGGTATCTGTGGTTTTAAACTAAGGGTCCTCTTGAGGGGAGGGGAGGGATGGCATCTCCTCTACTGATGAGAATAACTATGTTTCTCAGACCACCAACTCTGCTAATAGCCCAAACCCTGCAAACCTCTCCTATTGTGGAGAAGCAACCTGTGTGGAGATAGGTCTCCTATTGTGGAGAAGGACCTTTGTAGGTTCTACCCTCTCCCCTGCTCCTTAGCAATCACTGAGAGAGAAGACCCAGAAAAGAAAGCTCTCATCACCAAAGGCCTCAGCACTGTCTGGTGTTTTGACCTCAGAATTGGTTATGATTTTATCAATGGAAATGGCACTAACGAAGCGGCATTACCATCTGCTTTACCACTGCACCCACGTGGTCTTTCCATCTGACTTCCAGATGACAGCTCCTGTGTGTTGTCTCTCTCATTAGAATGTTATCTTGTTATATTTACAGTGCACAGAATGGTGCTTTGTACATAATAAGCCCTTAATAAATTATTTCCTTTCATTCATTAAACCAAAGTCTCCCTAAGCATTGGGAATGAATTTTCCTCATTGGACTGTAGAATCCCTTAAGGTACATTTTTGTCTTCTTCACATGAATTCAATTGACACTTACATATGTGGATGGCACTGTGCCAGGAACAACACCTGAAGGAGATGATGCCCTAAGGTTTCCTGCCCTAACCACAGGCTCACTCTTCTACCCACCAGACTGAGATAAGTTTTGCTTGGTGACAAATGTCCTGGTTTGCATTGACAGGAGGACAGTGTCTTGGAAGCACCAGTACTCATTTGAGTGTGGATGAGGAATAAGGAAACATTGCATATGTATGGGCCTCGTCTCATACCTGGGCACTGCTTCCTTTAACTCCTGCAAGGACAAAGAAGCCATCCAAAAAATAGAAAGGGAGAATAAAAGGAGGAAGAGAGAATCATTCACTTATTGGCTTCTCATGCTGGGTGTGTTTGCTCTGAGTGAGCTCCAGGCAGGTAAGCCCAACTTAACGAGAGGAGGACTGAGAAACCAAGAACACGTTCTAAGAAGGGAGAGAGAGCCTGTGTCCAGTGCTGGTCAGAGGGTGGACATAAGATAAAGAGAGAAGACACAGATACACAAGTAGACAAATAAAAATAAAATTAGAACCTTCTAAGCAAAGCTTTTGATGTGACCTAAACCAAGTGGAATCAATTAAAAAAATCTTTCAGAAAAAAAGTGAGTTTCCTGGAATGTACAGGGAAGAAGTAACAAATCTAGATTTAGGAGAGGCTTTGAAGACAATGGAGGACAAAAAACTAAGGTGATACAGACTGACAAACATTAGGGACAGTCTAGAGGGCAGAAATGCCAGGGGATTCTGACTGGAACCTTAGCTCTCTACCTATTATTGTTATTATTATTATTATTATTATTATTTTTAAGTTTTGTACCCTTTGTGCAGAAGCAAGTAGTGGGGCAGTTTATGGAGTGCTGGGCCTAGAGTCAAGAAGAACTGAATTCAGATCTGTCCTCAGACAATTATTTGTTGCATGATTCTAGGTTTGCCTTAATTTCCTTAACTGTAAAACAGAGATAATAATAGCCTCTCCCTAACAGAGTTCTTGTGAGGATCAAATGAGATATTTGTAAAAAGTGATTAGTTTCTTTCACAACATAACTATTATGGATATATTTTGCATGACTACACATGTATAACCTATATTGAATTGCTTGCCTTCTCATTTGGGGGTTGGTGCAGAGGGAGGAAGGGAGAGAGAGAGAATTTGGAATTCAAACTTTTTTCAATGTGTGTTAAAGTTGTTTTTACATGTAACTGGAAAATATAAAAACTAAGTAACAAAGAAAAAAATAAAAAAGTGCTTAGCACAGTGCCTGACACCTAGTGGGCACTTTCTTATATCACTTTTGACCTTAAGGTATCTCAAATGATTAATCAAGGCAGGTCAGAAGGAACACGTTTCTCCTGGGCCGCGGAGAAGCAAGTGGTAATCTCTTCTAAGGACAAGACTGGTGTACTTCTTTAGAGCTAGTGACGAATGAAGTACATTTGCACCGTGGAGATGGCTGTCAGGGAAGTAAATCCATGATAAGGGGAAGTGTGTGGCAGACAGGGAGGGATTCATAGGAAATAGGAACAGTTCTAGGTTGGCTGTGTTTGCCAGGGTTGCCTCTGAGGTCCATCAATATTACCGTGCATTAGCTCCTCATTGCTGTCCAGTGTTCAGCCTAGCCTCAAACACTCAGGTGCCAGATAAAGAGAAACCTTGATATAATCATAATCAAATGCAGTAGAGACCTATGGGTCAGGTCTCTACTGTCTCTGTAGGGGATAAAAATAAGCAAGAAGAGGTAAGTGGCACAGCTGTGTGATCACCTGCCTGTGTCTTCATCACTTAATAAGACCCAGCTTGACTGGTTCACTGAGACATCTGAGCACATCCTTCCTGCTTTAGACACCAGGCCCTCCCTCTAGGAGTATCCCTTTATTTACCCTGACCTAAGTGGAGAGAGAAGAATTGGTCTCTTTTCTCTTAGTTCAGATACAGCATTAGATGTTTTCTTTCTTTTTAAAAAAATTATTTGTTTTTTTTTGTTACACTTTAAGTTTCCAACTGTCTCCTTCCCTCTCCACTCCACACTAGAGAAGGTCACTATTTCATAGAAACACACACAAATACACACACACACACACACACACACACACATAACCACTGGGAAAAATGACATGGATTTAGTCTGCCATGACCAGTATTTGATATACCCACATTGACTTATCAAGGTCATTACTTCCCTTTTGAAATGTTAACAAAGTATCCCTTGAATAATGAATTCCAGACATTTCCTATTAGAGTTCTCCCTTCCACATCACAAGGGTTAGGGACAAGGTGCCCCCACAATTTGGAAAATCTGTGTAAAAATTTTTGGCCTTCCCTTTGTCCCAGAGAATGTCTGATTTTATTCCTTTCCTTTGATGGGGTATTTACAGTACCTTATTGTAAATTTTAGGCTAAGTATTTGGCCATAGGCAGTATGTAGGTCAATGTTAAGTAAAAATACTGTATGAAAAAGAAAATTTAAAAATATGAAATGCTAAAGTAATTTCTTATGCTGACCTGCGATATATCAAAACCACAGTGGAGAAAGTCATGATACTGAAGAGATACCTGTCTAGGGATTCAAGGTCATTGGCATATATGTTTAAGAAACCACCTTCCTCTCTCTTGAAAATCAGGACATTTATACATCTCGAACTCTGCCTTGCCTTTCCCATTTTCTATGTGCCCTCAGGGACTGCAGATAGCAGCTCAACAACAAGGCCACCTGCAATTTCTTTGTTAATCTTGGAATGTGGTTTGTCCAGATCTGATGACTTTAACACTTTGAAAACAGCTAGGCACACTCTTATCATCTCCTCACTTACTGTGGATTTCAATGATACATTTTCCCCATTGTTTTATCCCTTCTATTCCAAAGATGGTCCTCTATGGTAAAGAAGACAAACACAAAATGATCCATCTTTCATTATTATCATTAGAGCTCTCCTAAAAAAATGAGTCTTGTATTCTGTTTGATCTTTCTTCTATTGCCAATATAATGGCAAAATCTTTTCAAATTTCCATAGCATTTCCAGGAAACCACAGTCCTTCCAGTTCAAATTTAATAATAAACATTTGTATATACCTATCATGTACAAATCACTGCACCCAGTGCCGTAACTGTGAAGATAAAAATGAAAGAGCCCTACTCTTGTATTCACATCATCATCATCATCATTGTCATCATCATCATCACATCTAGTGCTTATATAGCACCTATTATGTACCAAGCAGCATGTTAAGTGTTTTGTTTTGTTTTCACCAATATTATCTTATTTCATGTCATGACAACTCTGGGAAGTGGGTACTATTATTACCACCATTTTATAGGTGAGGAAACTGAGGCAACCAGAGGTTAAGTAGCACATGTTTAATACAGAGGATTTTATCTTCATTGAGTTAAATTATTTCTGGATTGTGGCATTTTTAGTATTCCTACTAGATTATGTCACTGTTTTGTCCTCATCCCATTACCTGCCCTCAATTCTGAATTTGGTATTTTTAATCTAGATTGGAAGATGTTTCTTATGGCTCTTGAGATATTTCTCCCACTTCTCTCTTTGCTTCTTTATTGAAATCATTTGTTTTTATTTTGAGAGAATTTTAGTCTTGAAAGGATCTTACAATTGAAATAGCACTGGTTCTGAAGTCTGAAGACCTGGGTTCAAATCTCCCCTCTTACACTCAAGTGATCATGTGATCTTGACCATGTCACTCAACCTTCCTCAGGCTCTGTTTCATCATTTCTAAAATAAGAGGATCAGATTAAATGCTCTCTGAAGTACCTTTCAGCACTCCATCCATGAACCTATGCTATTTTTTCATTTCCTGAATATATGCTCCTGGTGAACCATCAATTGCAATGATGATTTTTAAAAATAAAGAGAAGAAAAGAAGTTTGGCAAAATCAAACAACACATCTGCCAAGTCTGATGGTATATATAATATCCAAAATTATTAGTTTCCCCCTCTTCAAAGAGGTTAGGGAAATATTATTCTTCCAATTCTCTTCCAAGATTCAAACTTGTCTATTCATTGCATAATGTTCAATTTCATTTTTCAATTTTTTTCTCTTTACATTGTTGTAGTTATCATCTACACTACTGCTCTGGTCCTCTTTACTTCACTTTGCATCAATTCATATTTCTTCCAAAGCTTCTCCAAATTCATCATATTCATCACTTCCTAATAGCACAGTAACGTTCCATTTCATTCTTGTATCATTAGATGTTTGACCATTTCCCCATCATGGCACCCCATCACTCTTAAATCAATTTCCCCTGCAGAGTCATAGTCCATGGAATCCTACCCATCTTCTCTTATAGCTCATTCAAATAAACCCTCCCAAAATCTAGATACTTGTCAGATAATGGCTTGTGTCTTACTCATTATAGAGTCTTTCTTCCAAGGTTCTAGCATCTCTACTTGAGCTCTACTTGAGCCTCTTTAGTGATCAAAATAAGATCTGTAATAGCATCCCAACCTAAGAGGTATAAAATCATTGGTATGATTATTTGATGATTTCTTAGCAGCATTGCTAAACAAGCTCTTCAGTGCTCAGTAAGATATGGCTGAAAGCAACTAGGAGTTCCTCATCCTCTGAGATCCCAAAGAATCAGTAAAAGCAGTTTTGCACATACCCTTTGGGGCTTTGAGCTAGAAGGGGTCCTAGCAATTATTGAGTCATGGGGCATAGGACTTAGAATAGGAAGTATCTTAGTGACCCAAGGGTACCAAACTTAAATAGCAATGGATCCCGGAGGGCCATATATTGACTTAGAAAACCACAAGTTAATATTATGTATGTTGTATTTCATTTTTATTTATTGCATTAACCATTTCTCCATTATATTTTAATCTGATCTGGGCCAAAGTCTGGAGTTTCACAGGCTACTTATGGCCTGCTGCAGCTAATTTAATACCTCTGTGACCAACTGACTTAGAGACAGAAGAACCTGAAGTCCAGAGAAGTGAGTAACTTGCCTAGGGTCATATAGATAGTAAATAACAGAGCCAAAACTCTAGGCTGAATTCTCCAACTCCAAAACCCTTGGAATTTATTGTCCTCATGATTGGACCTATAAGTTAATAAGTCAAAAAGCATTTATTAAGTGTTTACTATATGCTAGGTACAACTTTTGGTGGCTATGAAAATAGAATCATCGCAAACTGTTTCTTTGAGTGTTACTTTTTTTAGGGAAAAGCCATAAGTCACAGTAAGAAGTGAAAGTCATAACTTAAACACTGTGATGGTGGAAACCCAGGCATGGTGACTGGCAAAAACCATAACATAGATACTGTGACCACAACTTAGATAATGTGATCAGTGAAAGTCATAACACAGACACAGAGACCAGCACATGATCAGTACACAACCCTGTATTTGGCCATTTACCCAACAGCCCTGGCTTAATGCCCAAGCTTGGAAATGAGCTCATCACTATGCAGAAACCCCAAATATCCACCACATATAAGCAATTTGCTTTATAGTTCCTCCTCCCTTTGATTTTTATAATTGCCGCTGAGATTTCCTGGAGTCTTTGCAGGGGATCAATCCATTATTGAGACTATTTGCCTGACAGTCACCCCAGACTGGCCCCTAAGGTAAGTAATCCTATTGATTAAACTACTATCTATAATCAAACTGGATCTCCCAGCCTTTTTCTTTGGTACCAAAGTAGTTCCTCTGTTTGGGGAAGCCTAGAATACCCCAGTGCATGAGGATATTGGCTCATGGGAAAGTACAGAGTTTCCCAGCCAAGGGAATTCCAGACCTTAAAGCTATAAATGCCTAGACCTCTAGGTATGTTAGAGAAATAGTTAATAACATGAGATGTATTGAGGAATCACTGATAAGACATTCCCTTGTTTCCCTTTTCAGAGGAAAACAAAACTAGCCAAGCAGAAGACCCTAGCCTTGTGGGAGAACCCCATGAAGAACCCAAAACACTGCAAGGTATGTTAACTGAATGATCTGAGAGTCCTACCTGAATATTTCCCTTTGTCTCTCCATACTGCATCAGTCCATCGCTGCAGAATGATAATGGGCCAGTCTCTTGTACACCAGCATTTCTATTCATCCTTAAATTAAATGGCTGCCTATGATGCCAGAATGGATGAAAATACTACTGTACTCTTCCTGTTCATTAGCTATGCATGCTCCTTCAACACCCCCATATACAAACCTGGTTACCATTCTGTCTGTACTAACTCCTCTGATATTTACATAGCCCAACCTACTACTTGATAAAACAGAAGACTAGGTGAGAAAAGTGTTTATAACATCAAGAAACAACTTCTGAACCGATCTGTTAACAGATTTATTACCTAGACTTGCTCTGTGCTCAGTCCAGTGCTATGCACTAAGTCATACCAGATAAAATTCACCCTTCTTGACTGTTCCCAGGGACAATTGTCATGGGTATCCTACTAATACAGAGAGTGAAAGGGAGATGGGTGGCAGGACATATTGAGGCTCACATACTGAAATCTACCTTTTTTTTCTCCCTTCCTGCCATGGAGGCTACCACTATCACAAGAGACAATTCACTGCAGTGGGTACAAGACATTCCCTCTTCAGCTTCAGCATAATTCATATTATTGATGATGTGCATGTGTGTGTATATAATAAACAGAGTAAGCAAACTGTATTCAGTGAAGAATGCATCACCAAGGCACTAGGGAAAGACTTCTTTGAGCATAAGAAGGAAGTTATTTTAAGCACTCAGAAGCATTTCAATTGGCTCCTCAGATTCCTGATACAGAATGACACCAAGAGTGACAGTAAGTAAGACAAAATGAATCCATACAGCCAGAGTTAGGAGGGATCTCAGTGACCATGTAGATCATTCATGAAAGACATCCCAGCTGTACCCTACCCAACAAGTGCTTGTCCAACCTCTGAAGACATGCCAGAAAGATGAATGCAACCTCTCTTTTATCACTTTTTTATTTTAGTGTTTTATTTTCCCCAGTTGCATGGAAAAACAATTTTAACATTCATTTTTGAAACATTGAGTTCCAAATTCTCTCCCTTCCTCCCTCCCCACCCCACCTTATTGAGAAGGCAAGCAATTCTATACAGGTTATACATGTGTAGTCATGCAAAACACTTCCATAATAGTCATTGTGAAATTCAGTTGTGAAAAACTAAATGTATTTCCCTCCATCCTATTCCCCTTCATGTTTATTCTATGCTCTCTCTCCTTTCACTTTGTCCCTCCTCAAAAGTGTTTTGCTTCTGACTACCATTTCCGCACTCTTCCCTCGCTTCTATCAACCCCCTTCTCTTATCCTCTTCCACCCTAATTTCCTGTAGGGTAAGATAGATTTCTATACCCAATTGTGTGTGTATGCTAGTCCCTCTTTGAGCCAATTCTGTTGAGAGTAAGGTTCACTCACTCCTTCTCACCTCCCCCCACCTCTTCTCTACTGTAAAAGCTTTTTCTTGTCTCTTTTATGTGAGATAATTTACCCAATTCTACGTATCCTTTCTCTTTCTCCCAGTACATTCCTCTCTCACCCCTTAATTTTATTTTTTAGATATCATCCCTTCATATTCAACTCACACCTGTGCCGTCTGTCTGTATTCACTCCTTCTAACTACCCTAATAATGAGAAAGGTCTCATGAGTTACAAATGTCATCTTTCTATGTAGGAATGTAAATAGTTTAACTTTAATAAATCTCTTATGATTTCTCTTTCCTGTTTACATTTTGATGGTTCTCTTGAGTCTCATATTTTAAAATAAAATATTCTATTTACCTCTGGTCTTTTCTCGAGAATACTTGAAATTCCTCTATTATACTGAATGTCCATTTCCCCCTTCATGGATTATACTCAGTTTTGCTGGATAGGTGATTCTTGGTTGTAATTCTAGCTCCTTTGCCCTCTAGAATATCATATTCCAAGTCCTCCAATCCTTTAATATAGAAGCTGCTAAATCTTGTGTTATCCTGATTGTGGTTCCGTGATACTTGAATTATTTCTTTCTGGCTGCTTGCAATATTTTCTCCAGACCTTGGAACTCTCGAATTTGGCTATAGTATTCTGGGTGGTTTTTATTTTGGAATCTTGTTCAGGAGGTGATTGTTGGATTCTTTCAATTTCTATTTTACCCTCTGGTTCTAGAATATCAGGACAATTTTCCTTGATAATTTCTTGACAGGTAATGTCTAGGATCTTTTTTTATCATGGCTTTCAGGTAGGCAAATAATTTTTAAATGATCTTTCCTGGATCTATTTTCCAGGTCAGTTGTTTTTCCAACGAGATATTTTACATTGTCTTCTATTTTTTTCATTCTTTTGGTTTTGTTTCATGATTTCTTGTTTCTCATAAAGTCATTAGCTTCCATTTGCTCCATTGTAACTTTTAAGGAATTATTTTCTTCAGTGAGCATTTGGACCTTCTTTTCCATTTGGCCAGTTCTGCTTTTTTTTTTCAGCCAAAGACAAGGTTTATTGAAGATACACCATATTGGCCAGACTCTTGAGGAATCTGAGCACCTGTGAGCTGTTGTCTAGATCATGAGAATCTGAGCAGTGGCTAGATTATAAGAATCAGAACCCAGTTCTGCTTTTTAAGGCATTCTTCTTCTCATTGGCTTTTTGGACCTCTTTTACCATTTGGCCTAGTCTGATTTTTAAGGTGTTATTTTCTTCAGTATTTTTTATGTCTTCTTTAGCAAGTTGTTGACTTGTTTTCCATGATTTTCTTGCATTACTCTTATTTCTCTTCCAAATTTTTCCTCTATCTTTCTTACTTGATTTTCAAAATCCTTTTTGGGCTCTTCCATGGTCTGGGACTGATTTATATTTTTCTTGGAGGCTTTGCATGTAGGGGATTTGACTTTGTTGTCTTCTTCTGAGTGTGTGTTTTGATCTTCCTTGTCACCAAAGTTTCTATAATCAGAATTTTTTTCTATTGTTTGCTAATTGTCCCAGCCTATTACTTGACTTTTTAACTCTTTGTTAAGGTAGGGCTCTGCTTCCAGGGTGGAGTGTGAACTGTCCCAAGCTTAAGGGGGTTTGTGCAGCTGTTTTCAGAGATACTTCTAGGGACCTGCAAGTTTTCAGTTCTTCCAAGGTGGTATGAACTAAAGAGAGGTATTTATTACTCTCCTGGTCTGTGCTCTGGTCTGTGAGCAATCACAAACACTCTTCTGTCCTGGAACTGTGGGGAGGGTCCCCCCTCCACTGCTGCAACAAGCTCTGCTATGCTAGTGCTCCTTAACCTGGGACTGCCACCCAGGACTGCAACTGGGACTCAAGTATGGACAAAGCAACAGAGTTTTGCCTCAGATAGTGGAATAAAGGCAGGGACTCAGCTGAACTCTCCCCAAACTCCTCCAAATGCTTTTTAAAATGACTCTAAACAGATTCTAGAGCATCAGAACCCACGAAAAGAGAGAGTGAAGCAAATTTCCAGCACATGACAGCCTGGAAGGTTGACAAGAAAGGTCCTTTGCATCAGGATGAGAGAGGCATGCATTCAAGTGCAGGCTAGCAGTGAAGACCAGGCCCCAGCAAACTCAGAGCAGGCTTTAGGGTGACTGAATCACTGGTAGCAGTGGCAGTTTACAGACTTCTCAGCCTACAGACATGAAAGACAACTTAGAAGTTTAGCAGGAAAGGTCTGTAAGACCTGGGTGAGAGAGGAACACAGACCAGTAAAGGCTGTGCCAGCACAGCCCTGGCCCAAGCAAACCAGGAGCAGACCTTGGGAATGATTGAATTGGCAGTGACCATGGCTCCTTCCTGAGCTCTCAACCTATAGAAACTAAGGGGGTTGAACAACTAGTCAGAATGCTCCATCTCTTGAAGCAACACATTCAGTTTTTGGACAACATTGTTAGGAAAAGCTTAAATTTCCCTCTTTGCAACTTCTACCAATTAATCTTCATTATGATTTGTGGAGCCAGATGTAAGAAACCCAATCACTCCTCCAAGCAATAGCCCTTCAAATTCTTAGACAGCTATCATGTCCCTGCTCCCAAGTCTTCTTTTCTCCAAGCTTAACATGACCAGTTCCTTCACCATCCTGGCTGCCGTAATCAGGGATAGGATTAAATGACTTACAAGGTCCCTTCCAGCTCTTAATACATGATCCCATGGTTTGTGAACAAAACTGAACTTATCATTATCTGTTCTAAACCTATCCCTCCCCCAAACCCACTACTGGTATAGAGAATCACCATAACTTCAATCTAAAAGGTTTCCAATCATGGAGTCATTTATCTTCTTGTGGTCATTCTTTTTCTCATGCTCACCCAGTAGCCAGCTTGTAATCACTGTAATCACACTTACTTTGTAGGTTTAGAAAATCATTTTACAAATATGTCATTTTGTCTTCAAGGCAACCTTTGGAGGTAGGAGTTACTATTATTCCCATTTTACAAATGAGAGAACTGAGGCAGACAAAAATTAAATAGCTTGCCCAGGGTCATACATCTAGTTAATGTTTGAGGTTGAATTGAATTTAGGTCTTCCTGACTCCAGGCCAGCACCCTCTCCATTGTGCCACCTAGCTGACTCTACCTTAGCAATATCACTCTCATCCATCCCACACTCTCTACTCGAATGACTTTTGAAGCAGGCCAGGCTACCATCATGTCTCACCTCTATTATTATAATAAGCTTTTAAGTTGCTTCCCTCTTTCTAATATCTCCTCTATTCAAACAATACTCCACTCCACAGTCAAAATAATTTTCATAAAGCACAAATCTGATGCAGTTTTTCCCCAGCTCAAAAATTTTCCATAGCTCTCCATTGTTTCTAGGATGAAACACAAACTCTGCCCTTGACCTTTTAAACATGTTTGGCTTCACAATCCTGCTTCAGCCTACCTTTCCAGATTTATTTCATATTACTCCCTGCCATATACCATGTTCCAGAGAACCTGGACAACAAGCTGTTCTTTCACCTCAGTCTTCTAGCTCCTCTTTGAGTGCCCTTGTGTTGTGCTCCTCATGCCTGGAATGTTCTCTTTCAACTCTATCTCAGAATCCTTTGTTCCCTTCAAGGTTACATGAAATGCCACCGACTATATCATATCTCTCCAGACCCTCCTAGTTCTTAATGCTCTTTCCCACTTCAAATTACCTTGCTCTGACTATTATGTTTACAAATTGTTTACCACCACCACCTCCTAAAATGTAAGCTTATGGAGCTCAGGACCTATTTTCTTTTTACTTTAAATCCTTGGTGCCAAGTACACTGCCTTGCACATAGTTAGCATTTAATAAGTGGTAATTAAATTGAATTGAGCTGATAACAAGCCTGTGGCCAGAGAAAATACCACATATAAGAGAGCAAGAAAACTAGGTGAATTAGATATGTTCTCATTGGCTAAGGAGGGCGGAACTAGGAACAATTAATTGGTGGAAGTTACAGAAGGAAGGGTTTGTAAAGCTTTCTAACAGCTAGAACTGTCCAGCAGAGGGAAGATGACCCTGTTGGACTGTGATAAAGGGTATTCCTCATCACTTGAGGGCTGACTTCTAATTCAGAGATTCTGTGAATCTGTGAAGAATGCAGATCTGGGCTTTTACCTGATGGTGCATATCAGGGAAACTTCCCAGCGCAGACACTTTTCAGAGTCAAAAACTCTCAGAGTTGACTGCAACCCCCAAAACTATCTAGTCCCTTTTCATTGTTGCCTTCTTTCTGCCACAACTACCACATCCTGCTTCTGAGTTCTAGGACCCATTTCCATTCCCTTTTCTCATTTCTGTTCCTTGATGGTAAGAACCCAGATGAGAGTACTTTTAGAGTTTATCTCTATGTATAAATTCAGAAATTATACATTAAGATATGGTAACTAGACATTCACATAATCAGACTCATTCTAATGACAAGTCTACATGATTCTACCTTATTAGAGTTCTCCAGTGTCACTAAGCAGTGTTTTTCCCTAAGGAGAGAATAGTTGGTCCACTCTTGGTCTAGAGACTAATTCAAACCAAAATACAGGTCACCTCTAAAAGTGACCAAAAAGCAACATTTTTCCATATTAGTCCTTGACTCAATTTACCTGCTCCACAATATTCCATTCTTCTAGAAAAATATATGTTTACATAGAGAAAGTCCTTTCCTCTGAGTAAACCTAGGAGGTATAGAGTACAAGTACTATTACCCTTATTTTTGTACAACAGGAAAGACACTGTTTAACAGTAAAAAATTCTTTAAGCCATGCAAAGCACTTTTCATACATTTTTACATCTACTAGGAGGCAGTATGGAGTATGGAGTCCTGGAGAGAGCTCTAGAGTTGGAATGAGGAAGATTTGTGTTTGAATCTCACATTATATACTTATTAGCTACATGACAAGTCATTGGGCAAGTCACTTAATGCCATGAAGCCATGTGTCCCTTATTGGTAAAATGAATATAATAATAAAACCTCTCTCTCAAGGTACTTGTGGGGATCATCAGCAATAATATTCTGTATGTGAAGTGCTTTGAAGATCTTAAAGATACTGTATAATCTTGGCTATTATCATCATTATAAACTTTGAGGGCTTAAGTGAATTACTCAAGGTTATATAGTTAGCAAAAACAGAGACTGGATTCACAGTGGCCCTTTTAACTTTAATTCCAATCCTAATTCCATTACATCATACTGACTCATAAATCTCTCTACAGAGAATCACACAATTCAGCTCTTTACAAACTGTGAAGTGGATAATGACATTCAGATGGACAGCCATATTGGTTTTGCCATAGATGGTGAAGATTTTATCAAGTTTGATGATCAGAGGGATTGTTGGGCAGTCATGAAGCCCGGAGCAAAGTGCTTCAGAACCACAGCAGAAAGTAGCTTTGGGATCAAAATGAGAGAGAAGTCTATAAAGCAATATTGTGTTAACATGATGAGGATAATCCTGCTATACTCAAGCATGCAGGAAAATGGCAAGTTCCCAGTCCTTCCTGTTTCCTCCCAGGATTCTCTAAGGCCATGACAACAAAGCATAGGCTCTGGTCAGTCTTATCAAGCTGAGGAAACTCTGAGCTTGAGCTTGGGACAGACTGACTCTTGTCAGAGGGCAAGTTTAGTTAAACGTGGAGATTTTCCTCAACAGAGGAAAGATTACCAGGTGATAACTCTTCTAATCCACAGTAACTCATAAGAATGTGTTTCCTCTGATATGGAAAGAGTGTTATAAGCAACAAGTGAGACAGTATACACACTGATTATATCATGAATCCTTTCAAGTATTAAAATATTCAACACCTAGAACAGTTTCTTTGGGGATCTGGTGATATAGTCATCAGCACCATTAACTAATAATTATTGGGAGTCTAGTGTGTGCAAAGCACTGTCCTAGGTTCTGAGTAGTGTGCAGGCATGCCTCAGAGATATTGTAGGTTAGGTTCCAGAACACTACAATAAAGTGAATATTGCAATAAAATGAATCAAACATTTTTTTTGTTTCCCAGTGCATGTGAAAGTTGTATTTACACCATACTGTAATCTACTAAGTGTGCAAAAGTATTATGTCTAAAAATGTACATGACTTAATTAAAATGCTTTATTGCTGAAAAATGCTAACCATCATCTGAGCCTTCATTTATCCTACTCTTTTTGCTAGTGGAGGGTCCTGCCTCAGTGTTAATGACTGTTGACTGATCAGGGTGGTAGCTACTGAAAGTTTGGGTGGCTGTAGCAATTTCTTAAAGAAGACATCAATGAGTTTTGCCACATTGACTCTTCTTTTTTTTTTTTAATTTTTAGGCAATCGGGGTTAAGTGACTTGCCCAAGGTCACACAGCTAGTAAGTGTCAAGTGTTTGGTCTGAGGTCAGATTTGAACTCAGGTCCTCCTGACTTCAGGGCCGGTGCTCTATCCACTGTGCCACCTAGCTGGCCCCTGACTCTTCTTTTTAATTGAACACTTAGAGGCCATTGTAGAGTTAGTAGCTGGCCTAATTACAATATTGTAACTAAGGGAATAGTGAGGCTTGAGGACAAGGAGAGAGACCAGGGAACAGCCAGTTGGTAGAGCAGTCAGAACACATTCAATATTTATTGATTAAGTGAACCATCTTATACCAGCACAGTTTGTGGGGTCCCAAAGTAATTACAATAGTAACATCAAAGATCACTGAGCACAGGTCACCATAAAAGATAATTACATCTTTTTATTAAAATTATTTAATATTAAATAATGTTTAATATTAAATAATATTTAATCATAATGAAAAAGTCTGAAATTGTGAGAATTACCAAGATGTGACATGATGTGAGTGCATGCTGTTAGAAAAATGGTATCGATCAATTTGCTTCATGCAGGGTTGCCACAAACCTTCAATTTGTAAAAAAAACAAAACAAAACCAAACCAAACCTCAATAACCACAAAGCTCCATAAAGTGAAGTGCACTAAAATGAGGTGCACCTGTATAAAGAAGTACAAAATACTATCCTAGTCTCCAAGAGGCTTAGGAGTTCCTTGAGTTTAAGGGGAAAATGAATGAATAAGTGCATTAATTAAGGAAGGAAAGAAAAATTGTTTATCAAGTGGTTATTATATACCAAAGACTGTGCTAAGCAGTGGGGTTACAAATAAAAGAACAAAACAGTCCTTGCTATAAAGGAACCCATGCTGGGGATTATACAATATATAAGAATGTTCTGCATTAGGGCAGACAACAAGGCCCAAGAGTTCATAGTGTGCTTTGACGGGCTCCATAGGCTATAGTGCTTAGTAGAAGGAAAATTGGTAAAGCCCAGTGATTCCCCATTTTACCAGAAGAATTGCAATTTGTTACTCCCTGGTCATCTAAGTAAATACTGTGAATAGTTATATTTTAGGTGGGAACTACAAGAAATCATCCCGTAACATATGGGGAGAAGAGAGTAGGCCTATGTATCAAATTATATTAAGGCTCTGGGTTCTCCTCCCCCTGCTTGTGGGAAACAATGAATGAAGGTCAGCAAACATTCAGGAAATAAAAAAAGGAAGGAGACATTGGCAGGAAGGTAAGGGAAGTGGGCCTACTGTGAGCCACCTGGTGCCAATGCTAACAAATCAACATTGTCCTTCACATGCTCTAAAGGCAGGTTTCATAGTAGCAGACTTGAATTTGTCCAACCCAAATGGATGCCTTAGGAACATTGATTTAAATCTTGTCACACTGATAGAGACGGTGGGTTCATAAATTTTAATGTTCTTAGAAAGTCCTAGTCTCAGAAGGAACGAACACATGTGATACATGAGCGCAAGAACATTTCCATTCACAGTGATGCAAATAGTAGCAAGCAAGTGTTATTAATGTGTCAGAGAAGAGGCATTGGAGTGAGGGAGACAGAAATGTGAGAAACTGGTCCTAGGGATAAGATGGCTTTTGCAGCAACCAAAACAGTAATAACTATTATTTGACAAAGTCAATAATTGCTAGAGAAAGATTGAGGACAGAGTAATGTAGAAGGAAAGGAAAAGAGAGAAAGGATACAGAAGTGAAATTGGAAGAATAGAAGGTCATTGAGCTTTGGAGATAATACCTTTTCTCTTAATCTTTCTCTTCAGTGGCCCCTGAGGTGACTGTGTCCCGCCATGATGCTCCAGATGGTAGAGTCACCTTGAACTGCACAGCCACAGGCTTCTATCCTCACTCTATCCAGCTGCATTGGGACAAGGGTGGGCAGCTGGGTGTGTGGGGGCAAGAGAGCTCCAGTGGCACTTTGCCCAATGCTGATTCCACCTTCCACCTCCAAATCACACTGGAACTTCCTCCTGGTGATTCAGAGACAGGTTGCACCTGTGTGGTAGAGCACAGTAAGCTGCAGGCTCCAACTGTATATCCTGGTGAGTGTTCTTCCCCAACTATGTGGGCTCATTCCTCAGAAGCTAGGTCATGAAATGGGATGTCATCATGCTTATCACCCCCCCCCCTTTCCTCTCTGAGTAATGTTCCACAGAGCAGTATTTTCATTGGACATGCTCTCCAGTTGCCTGTCGTCTCAAAAAATGCTTCTTGTTTACTTGTTGCCTTTCATACCCTACAGTCCCTGAGAAGCCCACTGTGAGGAGGCCATGGGTCATGGCCCTGGTTCTCCTAACAGTTATCATTCTGGTGCTGAGCTGTGCTGGAGCCTTCATCACATGGAAGAAGAAGAAAACACGGAAAATATGTAAGAAAAGGGGGGTGGGGGGAAACTAATTGCCTAAGTACAAGATGAGGGGAGAAAGGGATAGGGAGCAGATGTCACAAGGAGTGAGGATGTTACACTATCCCTGTACCTCACAGAGTTCTGAGGAGAAAAGCTCTTTGTAAACAGAATGATAGTGTCAGAGGATTGGAGATGGAAGAGACCTCAGAATGAACCTCTAGTACAACTGGTCCAACTTTCTTGAAAAATGGTCATCTAGATTCAGCTTACCGACCTCCAACGACAGCACATTTGCCTCTTTCTAGGACAGTCTGTTTGACTTTTAGATTTTTGTGAAAGCTCTCCTGACATCAAGCCTAAATCTATCTCAGAGCAACCTCAGCAAATTTCTCCTAGTTCTCTTTACTAGGTATAAGAATGTCAAGGTGAATACCTCTTTCACATGGTAGTTATTTAAATACTTGTATTACCTTTACCGAGCAGAGGCATCACCTTGCCAACAAGGGCCCATATAGCAAAGCTATGGTTTTTCCAATAGCAATTTATGTCTGTGAGAGTTGGGCTATAAGTGAAACTGAATGCCACAGAATCGATCCTTTCAAATTGTGGTACTGGAGAAAACTGTTGAGAGTCCCTTGGACAACAAGCATGTCAAAGCAGTCAACACCTAAAATTCAGACTGTTCATTGGAAGGTCAGATACTGAGAAGACAGGACTTATTGGAAAACACCCTGACGTTGGGAAAGAATGAGGGCAAAAAAAGAAGGGAACAACAGAGGATGAGATGGATAGATCATGTCATGGAAGCAACAACATGAGCTTGGACAGACTTTGGGAGATAGTAGAGGATAGAAAGGCTTGGCATGTTGTGGTCCATGGGGTCATGAAGAGTCAGACATGACTAAACAACTGAAAAACAAAATTACTATTACACACCTCCTGTGTCTTTTCTTCTCCAAGATAAAAATTCCCAATATCTTAACCATCCCTTATAATATCCTGGTTTCTATTTTTTTTTTTTTTTACCATTAGAGTAGTCATTCATGAAATGTAGCATTGAGAACAGAACATGACACTCCTTATGTGGGTTGACCAGGAAGAATACAGAGGGTCTATCATTTCCCCATTCCTGGACACTGTGCTATTCTCTTAATGAAGCCTAAAAACAACATAAGCTCTTTCATAGGGACTCATCACACTTGCTTGAACGTCATGCATCATCAACCTGTCACCTGCCTTTTTTTACTATATATTTAATTTTTTTTATCCTGAGCTACGTAATAACTCAGGGCTAACAAAAAATCATTTCTTATTAGTTAGTAAACTTGCAACCAATTCTCATTAAAATTTATTAACTTAAGTCTGTACTCTAGTTCTTTAAATATTAATAGTTGAGTAACTAAAAAATTACTTTTCAGTATAATAGCTACTCATATATAATTTATTAGCATTGTAAGCAAAGAAAATAATTTACTATATTTTGGTTAAAGGAATGTTCTTGGCCAGAGTCACCAAATCTCATTATAATGCTAGATAACTTTCTTCACTTCTTTGAAGAATATGACCCCATATAATTCAGTTTACTTCAGTTCCCCCCGCCCCCAACCAAAAAAAGTGTTTTTATGCCTTTTTAAGGTAAGAGTCAAATTCAGTCACCCAGGAAATGAGTTAGATTACTCTTTTTTATTTGCCTCTTCAATGATCACTGGAAACAATTGTTACAAAATATACTCTTCTTGCCAACTCCTTACAGACTCTTCATAGTAACGTAGTAACATAACAGAGTAACTCTTTGCAATATAATACTTAGGACAGTACTAATGAGGAGAAAGTTTTACTTCACCTTCTTCCTCTGTATCTTCTCCATGGAGTTCTCATAGATCCTCAGATACTAGATAAAAAACATGCAACCTCTTCCAGATTTTACAGGAGGAATTGCTTCATAGTAAGGCATTTTTCAACTGGCACTTCAAACTGTCAAATCTGCCTATAATCTATGTGAGAGAGACATTTGAGACTGCAATCTTATTCACACTGATTGTGTGTTCTGCTAAAAGCCTCAGTTCTTTTCCAGAACAAATACTCCTTCAGTCTTGTATTTGTGCAGTGAATATCTGGTTTAATTCAAGAACAGGACTTTATACTTATTCCTGCTAGGTTTGATTTTATTACAATCAGCAGGGTATAGTGGAAAAAATGCTAGACATGGATTCAGGGGAGACATGAGTTTCAAACCTTCCTACCCTAGATCTTCCTAACTCATTGTCCAGAAGTGACAGATAACTCTAGTGTATACCAAAGGATAAGTTTCCATCCTGGCACATCCTCAGGTCTGATAGGAGACACAATCCTTCTTTTCTAATCAGGAAGGTACACAACTGTCTTTGGGAAGCACCCAGTCTGTTATAAGATCTGCTGCTGCCTGGAGATAGGATGCTGAATGAGTTAGAGATTCAAGTACTTCCCGGCTTGTGGGCCTTCTACATTTACCTCTATTTCTCTTTCAGGTCACTCATAAGCAAGCCACAATGGATGGTGAACTCCCTGTAAAGGGAGTTGGTATTTGCACAATGAGGAAGCCATCAGTGGAGGAGAGCACTGAAGAGGGTCTTTGGGCATATATGTAAATTCTAGTACCCTGATCTCTCTCTTAATCTGTAATCAGGATTAAGACAGGTCTTCCAATAGAAAGTGGAACATGGGCATGAAATCTGCTATCAGCTTTTCTCAGGGTACAGATTATTACATGTCTACAGAACAAGTTAAAATAAATACGTTTTTAGGTATTCATCTGGATACTCAGGCTATCTGTGTTTTCAACTCAGAACCAACTCCTGCTGTTTGCCCTGCTTGGGTGGCATTTCCTGCCTCAATGCCTATTATTTTAATGTATGAAATTTGTGTAGTGGATAGATCACAGGGCCTGGATTCAGGAAGTCTTGCCTCAGAAACTTCCTAAGTGTGTGACCCTGGGCAAGTCACTTCATCTCTGTCTACTTTAACTTCTTTATCTGTGAAATGGGAATAATCATAGCACCTACCTCCTAGGCCTGATGTGAGGATCAAATACAATAATATTTATGAAGCTCTTTGCAAACCTTAAAACATTATATACAAGTTGGTTGTTGATGCAGTGGAAAAAAGAGCTCAGCTTAAAGTCAGGGTCCATGAGTTTTAATCCTAGATCTGATACTTATTATTCTGATGACTCTGAACAACTCATTTAAACTCTCTAAGCCTCAGTTTCCTCATCTATAAAATTTTGGAAACAATATGGCTCTACCTATCTCACATGGTCCTAATGAGGAAGATGCTCTGTAAACCTTACCACATTTCTTAAATGTGATTTTTGATTATATTTATTAATTTTTAGGCAATTGGGGTTAAGTGACTTGCCCAGGGTCATACAGCTAGTAAGTGTCAAGTGTTTAGTCTGAGGCCGGATTTGAACTCAGGTCCTCCTGACTTCAGGGCCAGTGCTCTATCCACTGTGCCACCTAGCTGCCCCTGATTTATGATTATATTTAGAGAGACAGCATAGTGATGTGGGAAGAAAGCTGGGTTCAAGGCTAAGATGACCTTAGATCAAAGCCCACCTCTGACACATCTGGCTGTGTGACTTCGGGCAAGTCACTTCCCCCCAGTACCCCAAGCAACCCTCTAATTTCATAAACTGCAGAGAAGATGCTGAGATTTATTGATAGAGAGAATGTTCATTCCCAGAGATTCCTATAATGTAATCACAGTAGCAATCCCAGTCCCTGTTCCTATTCCTATCAAGTCTCTGCTCAAAGCCACTTTTTCTGTGGTTTGTCAATCGAATGCATTCATGATGTCAAGGGTGTGATGTTCCTGCCAATGGTGCAAGTCACAAACCAGCCACATCCTCCTAGACTAGGTTGTTCCCGCCCATAGTTTTCCTTAAACTCACAAAGATGTTCCATATGAACATTCTCATTATGATAATAACACTCCATATTTATAGGAAGCCTTGCAGTTTATGAGGTGCCCTCTTTAATGTTGATAATGCAAGCTTTATTGGCAAATGAGGAAACTGAGGCTCAGTGTAGTGATGAGACATTCTTAAGGTTGCATCACTAGTAACAGGGCATAGACAGGACTCCAGAGCAGTTCTTCTGGTCTCTTTAGCCTGCCCTTCCCACAACTCCAGGCAGATCTCTACCTCCCCTAACAATCCCTCAGCACTTTCTATTAATAAGATGCCCAGTATGGTTTAGTCAAAAGAGCCCTTTACTGGGAGATGTACTAACAATTATAGGACCATAACACTGTCAATCTAGGGATGGAAGGGAATTCAGAAGCATCTACATCAACCTCCTCAGTTTACAGATGAAGAGATTGATGCACAGGGAGTTGAGATGACTTGTCCAAGGTCATACGAAAAAACAGAATTTGAACCCAGGTTCTCTAATTCAAACAGTGATGCCCTTTCCTATGTTGCTGGTTGTTAGCTGTGTGAAATTAAAGTGACCACCTCTTTCCTTTGGTACTCAATTTCCTTATCTGTCAAATGAGGGAAGTTCCCTAGAACAATGAAATTCTAGGACCAGACTCTAACCCTATTTTTAGCTCACTTGATATTCCTACCAGACTGTGGGTGTGTGTGCTATTTGGCTCATTAGCTTCATTCTACAGAAAAAGAATCTGAGACCCAAGGGAGATGGATTACTCTACTTGCCCAGGATTATCTAGCATCCTTAGGAGGTTAAGATCTCTATTGATCCAAATTCAATATTCCTAACATTTCTTGATGTTGCTTTTCTTTTCTCTATCCCAAGCTGTAAGAATGGTTGTCTTCCATAAATCATTGTACCTGCTATATTCAGCTTAGCTTTATAACTAAATTCCTTTGACTGTTCTTTCATTGTTTGATATGTCTTGGGACCCCTCTCCTCCAAATATTCTAAGCTGTGTAAGGCTAAAGACTATGCATTCTCTGGTATCCCCAGCATCCAAACATATGGTTGAGCACAAAATAAAGGCTTGCTGAAGTTCAAAAGAAGAGATTTGAGAGTGAAACCCAGGTCTCCTGAGTCCAGCACTGCATGGCCTCTTGATCGATGTTATTGGTCAGTCATCTTTCAGTCATGTCTGATGCTTCCTGACCTCATTGGAGATTTTCTTGACAGAAATACTGGAGTGGCTTGCCATTTCTTTCTCCAGATCCTTTTACAGATGAGGTAACTGAAACAAACAGGGTCACACAGCTAGCGATCATCTGAAGCCAGATCTGAACTCAGGAAGATGATTCTTCCTGACTCCAGCAGCCCTATTCAATAAAGAAGCCCAACCAATTGCTTCTATTGACAGGCCCACTGGAGGTCATAGAGGTGATAAATGGCAGTGGTAGGGATAGGGTCTCCCAAGGCCAGCTTAGTGCTCTTTCCCTTCCATTTTCATATCTCAAGTTCTCAATAGAATGTAATCTCCTTGAGGAATAGAGTGTGAGTGTGTGTGTGTGTGTGTGTGTGTGTGTGTATGTGTTTATTTTTCATTTTTATATGTCTTATATCTGTCAGGGCAGCTAGGTGGCACAGTGGATAGAGTTCCGGGCCTGGAGTCAGGAATACTCAGCTTTCTGAGTTCAAATCTGCTCAGCTACTTACTAGCTGTGTGACCCTGGTAAAGTCACTTAACCCTGTTTGCCTCAGTTCCTCATCCGTAAAATGATGTGGAGAAAGAAATGACCAACCATTCTACTATCTCTGCCAAGAAAAACCCAAATGGGGTTACAAAGGGTCAAATATGACTGAAAAATGACTGAACAACAACAACATCTGGAAACTAGTAGTCAATAAATTGTTGTTGAATTGAATTTCACTGAAAAGAACTGAATTGAGTTAGGGTATCCATAATGCTGGAGGGAGGAAGAATTGGTGGTCTCTTATCATTTACTTTTTTTTTTTTTTTTAGAGATCTGAGCACTTTCCTTCTTCAGATGTTGGTAGGAGTTTTGAAGTGATAAGATTTCTGCTGGTGAGACGTGTAAGGGAATGTATTGGAAATTACAATGTAAAAGAAAGACAAATGGAAGGGGAAGGTATGACCTCACACACAGATAGAACATCCAAAACAAATCTGAGAAAGTCTTATATTCTTTTTTTTATTACTGAAACTTAAATGCACAATAAGAAAAGAAAAAGGAACATATTATAAACTTAAATACAAAACAAGAAAAAAAGCATACTATGTACGCAGAACTTAAAAGAAGATTCAAAATATATGCAATAAATTTCCATTTCAAAAACATATATAATAAATACTATTTGTTATGTTGAGAGCTGCCCATCTTTGCTTCTTTTTTAGTTTTCTTTTGTTCTCTGCTGTGCACTTTCTTACATTGTTCTTCCCCCCCTTCTTTCTCCCCCCAGAAGGCTTCAATTAAGCATGGATATATTTATATATAGATATAGATATATAGATACACATACACATCTGTACACATACATACATATATGCACATATAGACACATACTTTCCCTAACAAATTCTACTTCTGATAATTGTTTTTATGTATGTGCATATGTCTCATTTCCTACCCCTCCTAACTCTTCTACTTTACTTCTATTCTCTACCTTGCCCTCCTATTACTTAACCTAACACTGCTCCAAGGATCCCACCCTTAGCCTCCCATTCCTATAAATCTAAACTCCCTTCTATACCCCTTAACCTGTTCTCTCACCCTTCCCTCTAAATATTACTCCTTTGTCCTTCCATTCCCATTAATCTAAACATCCTTCTATATCCTCCCCTTAACCTATTCCCTCACCCTTTCCTCTAGAGATCCCTCCTTTTTCCTCTCCCCTCTTTCTATCCCCTTAGCATTTCATTTCTTTCTGAATATAGAAGACTTTTATACTCTTCCAGATATATATGTATTGTTCCCTCTTGAACCCATTCCTGATGAAAGTATGTTTCCAGAACTAACAGCCCTCCTCCCCCATCTAATTCCTTTGTATTGGTCCTTCCTCTCGCACCTCATTGGCATGAAACAATTACTCTTTTTAGCTGTTCCTAAACAATTTTACTTTTTAAATTCATATCAGACTTGGGTCTACCCCAATCTTTCTTATGAATTACCCAATTACTAATAACAATCTTAGACATGTTTTACATTTTACATACATAAAAGGTAAACAGTTTGTCCTTATTGAGTTCCTTGTAATTAGTCTTTGGTAAATACCTTATATTTCTCTTAGCTCTTATATGTCATAACTTCTATTAAGTTCAGGTTTTTTTAAACAAAGTTCTGAAAGTCTGACAGTTCATTAAATATCCACTTTTTTTTCATTCAAAATTATGCTTAGGTTTGCAGGGTATGATATTTTTGGCTGTAACCTCAGTTTTTTGCTCTTCAATATATAATGTTCCAAGACTTATGGTCGTTTAGTGTCACCACTGCTAAGTCTTGTGTGATTCTAATTGTGGCACTGTCATATTTAATTTTTTTCTTGTTGCTCATAATATTTTATCCTTGAGCTGAGGGTTTTGGAATTTGAATATGATATTCCTATGAGTTTTCCTCATAGCATCTTTTTCAGGTGGTGATCAGTGGATTTTTTTCTATTTC